CTTATAAGTGATGTTTGTCTGTAGTTTTGTTTTTTTTTTTAATTATATCTTTGGTATTGTAATAAAGGGTAAAACTGATCTCATAGAATGAGTATTTCCGATATGTCTACTTGGAAAAAATTGTGAAGGATTGGTGCTAATGCTTCTTTAAATGTTTGGTACAATTTACCAGTGAAGTCACTAGGCCTGGACTTTTCTTCTGGGATGTTTTAAATGACTAATTCAATCTCTTTACCCAAATTGGTCTATTCAGATTTTAAAATTTCTTTTTGAGTTAGTTGTTATTGGTCATACCTTTCTAGGGGTTTATGTATTCCACTTACGTTATCTAATTTATTTGAAAACAGGTATTCATAGTTTTCCCTTATTTAAAAGGAATTTCTTTCAGGTCATTAGTGTTGCCCCCTCTTCCATTTCTGAATTCAGTAATTTAAGTTTTCTATTTTTTTCTTATTCATTCTTGCTAAAAATTTTTTGTCAATTTTGTTCATATTTTCAAAAAAACCAGTTTTTGTTTTATTAATCTCTATTGTTCTTCTATTTTCTATTTCACTTATTTGCACTTTAGTCTTTATTCCTTCTTTCTGCTTATTTCAGGTTTGTTCTTTTTCTAGTTCTTAAGGCAAAAGTTTAAATTATTGATTTGAGATGTTTGCTCTTTTAAAATATAGGTGTTTACTTTAATTTTGCTGTAAGCCCTGCATTGGCTGCATTCCATAGGTCTTGGTATGTTGAGTTTTACTTTCACTCATAAAAAATATTTTGTAATTTCTCTTATGTTTTCTTCTTTGACACATTGAATATTTAAGTGTGCTGCTTAATTTATGCATATTTGTGAATTTGCCAATATTTTTGTGTTATTGACTTCTAATTTGTCCCACTGTGGTCGGAAAACATTGCTTGTATTATTTAAACCATTTTAGACTTATTTAGGCTCCTCTGATGGTATAACGTGTGAATCTATGCTGAAGAATGTTCCATGTGTGCTTGAGAAGAATGAATATTCTGCTGTTGTTGGGTGGATTCTTCTACAGATGTAGGTCTCTTTGCTTCTCTTTGTTGTTAAAGTTTCTATTTTCTTGCTGATCTTCTGCTTAGTTTTCTATCCAACATTAAAAGCTAGACATGTAGGAGTCTTCAACTATTATTGTTGAATTGTATCTTTCTCTCTTCAGTTGTCAGTTTTTGTTTCATGTATTAGGGAGATCTGTTAGTGCATATATGTTACTAATTATTATCTCTTCCTGATTGACTCCTTTATCATTATAAAATGTCTTTGTCTCTAGTAAAAATTTTTTGTCTTAAGTTCTATTTCATTTAATATTAGTATAGCCACTCCAGCTCTCTTTGGGTCACTTTCTGCATGTGTCTTTTTTTCTATTCTTTTACTTGACATATTTATGCCTTTGCACCTAAAGGGTATTGCTCTAGATATAATATAGCTAGATCGTTTTAAAAAATTGCATTCTGCCATCCTCTGCCTTGTGATTGGAGTGTTGAACTCATTTGTTTTTAATATGATTTTTTCTGTCATTTGCAATTTGTTTTCTATGTGTCTTTTTTTGTTGTTCCCCTCTTCATCTGTTACCAAATTCTTTTGCTTTCAGTACATGTTTTTCTAGTGCACAATGTTAATTCCTATGTTGCTTCTTTTACTATATCTAAAAAATTATTTTTCTTAGTGGTTGTCTTTGGAATTATAATTAACATCTTAATTTAAAAGGCCTAGTTGCTTATTAGCATTCAGTGTATTCTTTGAAACACGTGTCTCATGATACACCCCAATAAAAACGTGTTCTGTCTTGGAATAAGATTTGGATATATTTTATACTTGTCTCCTTGCAGAATGCCCATAAACAAACATATTTTCCTATTTCTTAATTAAGTAAAGGCCTTTAATGACACTTTAATGTAAGAATTGATATAAAATTATTTGCTCCGAAGAGAAATGTATTCAAATCAAATTCTTCTAGATTGGGTCCTACACGGTTGAAGCTCTACATACTAAACCAGAGTTTTAAATGAAAGCTCTCAAACTTTTTTTGATTCATGAATCCCTCAGTAATTTTTTTATGGCACTTCCAGCCCAAAAGAAATGCCTGAGACTTCTGTTTCTTAAGTGGTTAAACTGAAGGGATGTATAAATATCTTTGTTCTAACAACTTAGTGTCTTTTAGGTATTGCACAACTTCTCAAATTTTGGAATTAGATTGGACACTGCCATCATTTTCTGATCCATGTTAATTTCTTCAGGGCACTTGAATTTTCAAAGCAACCACTGAAAACCCAGCCTTTTAAGACGTCATTAAAGGAAGGCAATAAACTCATGTTGAAATTGTGAACTATCTCACCTAGTAGTTCACAGGATCCAACAAATACTTATGGTATTTGAATTCGGATCTCAGTTCTGTGTGAACACTTGATCCAGTTATTTAACTTTATTGAGCTTCACTTTTGTCTTCTGTAAAATAGAATCATCAAGTGTACACACAGGGCATTGTAGAGACTAATTCATGAAACCCCTGGCATAAGAAATACATGGTACATGATAACTACTATTCAAGAACCATTTTGGTTCACTAATCAATAGTAAGAATTACTGAACCACCAAAAATGTTATTTGCACCTAGACTTGGTGACTAAGTAGTATGATAATGGTGTATCTGCAACACACTTTTAAATTAGTAGGAATATTTCAGATGGTATCAAAAACTACATCTTCTGGGGAAAACGTCCCATTTCAATGTAGGTTTCAGTATAAGTTTTACTACTCATTAGAAAAGTAGCTTGGCCTCCCTTTCCTCACCTTTAAAATGGGAAGAATAGTACCATGATGAGCGTAGTGTTAGGAATGAAAGTGCTTAGCACACAGTAAGCACTCAGTACATGTACGTTTCTTTTCTCCTCTCTTTCAGAGACAGCATTTTACTAGATTTGGTGTTCCTTAAGGGATGTGTCTATAAGCCCTAATCACTGATACTCTTCTTATTAAGCAGAACAGAAGAAAGCATTACAATTAATTCCTCAGACAGATTGTGGGGTGATGGAGTAATATTGTCATAGAATTCTTGAAAAATAAATTCCCTCTGATATCTGTTGGACTTTTCTGCTTTAGAATATACTATAAAGACTCCATGTAGATTGTCTGCCATGAGGCAGTTATCAGTTACTAATTACCCCTGATGATATTATCCTCAAAATTTTATTATCCTTACCTTTTGGATGCGATTAAGGTACCCAAAATGGAAAAAAAATTAAGACCCCAAAATTGTTATTTTAAAAATAACTACTTAAAAACAGTTTGATTTATGATAACTCAATTGATTTTATTCCCTTAAAGCAGATTTTTAAAAAATAGATGGGACACGGTTCTCTAGCTCTCCCACATGGGTAGCTGTTTCTTAGAAAGCAGGTTTCTTAATTTATTCATTCTGAATTTACAAGTTAATCTTTTTTGCCTGGCTTAAATCTCCCTTATTCTAATTTGAGATTTTAAAGCTCATGTTCTATTTTTGGACTTGAAAAGCAGCTCTTAAACCTTCTTGCTATAATGCTAGCAATGATTATAATAGAGACTTCCAATGTTGGTGAAATGAAACTGGCAGTACATTATTTTAATCCTATCTGCCTCTCACTTCTTCACACTATGGTGACCTTGGAAGGGGATCATACAACAGGAGATGTGAACACTGAATTGTGAGACTTGCTTCATGAAAAATGGATGAGAAAAAGCCAGGGAATGATTAAGTGGTGAGTGTAGGAAAAGAGAGTTGTAGGAATTCTATTAAGTTTGAAGACATTAAGCCTTCAATTTAGTAATTTTGCGTATTTTTAAAAGAAATGGAGAAACAGCTTTCTTTGCAGAATTCTGTCCATGTGCCATGCTTAGAGACAAAAAAAAAAAAAAAAACCCAAAGAGGAAAACAATAGATTGATGCTTAACTATAGTGATGCACTCCATGCAATTCCCTAGCATATTCATTTTTCTGTTTTGAAATTTCTAGTTCTACCTAGGGATTACCCATGGGAAAATAAAGATTACATTAAAATCTATAGGAGGAAAAGCATTGAAAAAGATGAAAAAGACCAGCACCCAAACACTAATTGTCATTGAGCTTAGAGGAGATTTATATGATTTTACTTTATAATTTCCACTTTTTCATATTTTTAGATTTTCTTTGAAAAGTATGTTTTAATGAGTGTTTATAATTTATAAGATGAATTTACATCTTGCCTAAATACAGAAATGAAATAGATGCATCAAGTACCCTGGTCAGTCTGTTTCTTCAAGCTATTTTTACCCACTCAAACAAGATACTGATCATCTTACATATTACAATATGTAATGGTTTTGAGCATAAAATAGATATTAGGGTTAAGATATAGAATGTAATTTTTTGTCAATATCCATTTTTGGTACTCTGTAGCATAGAAGAAAGTAATGTAAAACCAAAAGTGCTTAAAATATATTAATAGTTGAATGTTAATAATTTAATATTTCTTCTCTCAGATGATTTTACAGTGCTTCAGCACAGATAAACAAATAGGCAACATTATTTCATAACCCAATCTTACATCGATATTATGTTTGCAAGTATTTTATGCTGTTTCTCAAAAAAATACAGTTCTGCTATATGTACTTTTATGTTACATAAAATTTCAACACATAACTTAACCTCTGAGATGTTATTTGGTTGAGGAGCCTCAGTCGACTAGACACAGGTTTTTCTCACTGTGAAATCAGAAATTATAGTAATTTCCTATAATAAATGGAAAAGTTAAAGTTTATAAGCTTGAGAATCTTTGAGCAGTTCTATATATGCAAAGCAGTGACTATTGTTACTCTTGGATGATAGTTCCTGGCTTGAGAAAATATTTGGTTTGATCTTTAGTAATTAATCCTTATTGCATGATACTTCCTTGATTCAGTAAAGCCATTTATAAATCAGATGTAGAGAACTTTGGTTTTTAGATGTTAAAAAAAAACTGAAACATGTAGATACCTAAAATGTACTTTTATAATAGAATAAAAAGCAGATTAATAAGTCCACATTCATTTCCTATTTGATTGCTAAGTATTTAAGAGTTTTTTGGTTATGGTCTGTCTCACAGAGGAACTATGATTATCTAAATATGTACTTTAAAAAAAAGGAATTGTTTGCTCAACTGAGTGTTTTGTGTAAAACATTGCAAAATTGTCTGCATCTGCAACTTAAAACCATGACATACAGTAGGTTAAAATTGAACAGAATTTGATTGCAGACCTGAAGCTGGTTTTCTTGGCTTTGCAACAAAAACACATCATGCAAGAATACATTTGCTCAGGATTTTTTGAACAGTCCGTGAAAGGTGACAGGGATGTTAATTTCCACTTCAGCCCGGGCAACTTCACTCAAGTCCTTGGCATTCAGAATCAGGAGATAGGCAGGTTTTTGTCCTGCCCCAGGGCTCACCACCACACTCAGGACTACACCTGTCAACCAGAAGTACATAGGGCAAATCTTAGTATGAAAAAGTCCAGGACATACAGTGAATGTTATTGAAATAATATAGGAGGCATTACATTGGCAAAAGAAAACGCTATGACTTGACTTTTTGTTTTGAGTATTCTACAAACTAGCTGTGTGACCACTCAGGGGTCTTTAAACTCTCCGTGTTCCCTAGACTAGAAGCTTCAGGAAAGGAGTGACCAAGTCTGTCTTATTCATTGCTGTTCCCCAATAGTTTGAGACAATGACTAGAGCATAGGAGACGCTCAATAAATACTTATTGAGTGGCTGGATCTTTGTTCTTATCTGCTTTATCTACAGCTGTTCTGACAATCAAATGAAAAATATGTATTAAGAGACTTTGGGGAAGGGGAAGCTGGGGGGCATAAAAAAATCTTTGAAGATTTATTATATCTGTAAATTCCAAGATCTATCTGAAACTGACTTCCTTCAAACAGTAGGAGAACAAATCACTTGCACTTTTGACTGGATGGAATATATATGTAAAATAATTTAGCATCAAGTGACTCCACAATCCTTCATCTCACTTCGCTGTGGCTTTCTTTTCTTTTAAAATTTTTCATTTTAAAGATGTGGTTTCCTGTATGTTAATCCCACAGAGTGTAATCTACCTCCCTGTCCCAACTCACCCAGATGGATGCTTTGGGACTTGCTGCATCATAGGCTGAGACTCTGGACCCCATTCTAGCCCCAGCTAACTAAAAGAACAAATGAAAGCTAGAGCCACAGAGCTGCGGTCTCGTTTTCTTTGATCTACTAGGACACTCAGTCTTAGAAGTATTCTTTTTCAGAATGATATCTTGGCCAGGAAAGGCAAAAACCAAGAATCTGCATTGCCATTTTTTCCTTCCTTCTCTCCCTCACCTAGATGATGTTGATACTCCATTGTGATACCAGATATTGCATCAGCGTTCTTTCTACTAGAAATCAACAAGACCCGACTGCAAGATGGAACTTATCTTCAGATGAGTTTAAATGCTCTAGTGCTGCCCTGCCTGTAGTGTTAAGGTCATTTCTCAACAATAAGGAATAATCAACCTGACCGCTTTCTTGAGGAACTAACACAAAGAGAAAGAACTCCAGCAAAAAGAGTGCATTCAGACACATCCATTGCTTTCATTACCGTCATCTTCTTCCAAGGCATCTGGGTGAGAAACAAAGATGGGCTCTGATGGGTATGAATCAGGCTCTTGCCAGACCCAAGTTTCTTTAGTTTTGACGTTCAGCTTACAGAGCTGCTTGTAAGAAAGAAAAATCAGTCAGTCAGTATGCTTCACTTGACCAGCATATGCTCAAAGCACAGTCCTAATATTAGTCCAAAGGATTAATTACCCTGTCTGGAACAAAGTGATTCAGGCCAAGTCCATATGCATATGTGTAAGGTTTCCCGCCATACTTCCGGTAATTGATTTGAGGAAACTCAAATGCTGCAAAACAGAGCACACACTTAGAAAAACTCAGTCCATCTGTTAAACGGAATATGTGTTCCCTCTCCCACGTGAGGTTTTCTCTAGCTCTCCTCACCTTGACGAGGCCCTGAAAAAAGAACCTCAGGTTCCAGCCAGATGGTCTCATCGCTACACAGAATGGCAGTGGCAGTTGTGTTGGGCAGTGTCACTAAATTCTTGCCTGTGTCTGCCTAAGAAAGACGATCGCAGAAAATCTCGGTGAGCAGGAAAGAAAATTCAGGCAGCCATAAATGCAAACTTCCCGTCTCATCTCCTGAGTGATTTCTTAGGCCAGCGTGCAGGGAAGAGCAGTGCAGGAAAGACAGCGAGGGCGCCCCAGAGTATGACGGGGCAGCTGTCTACGCCTGTGTCAGTCACTAGCTGTGTGTCACCGGGAAAGTCACATGCCCTCTTAGACCACCTGTTTTCTCATCTGTAAAGTGAGACTGTCCTTGAAGAAAACATAGGGTTCTGAGGGAAGGGCCTCTGGCAAAGTAAAAATTTAAATAGCACTAATAATAATAACTTTTTTCTGTAGAACAACAAAAACTTTTGCTGCCTAAGGGGTAAAAGGGTGTTTCACTCTTTTATAGTTAGGATGTACTTTACTTTTGCTTGAAAAAACTCATGCAGTTATGTTGACAGAAAGAAATAATAATATAAACCACTGGACCAGATGTTTTCTGAGGTCTCTCTCTCTCTCTCTCTCTCTCCCTCTCCCCCCACCCCACACACAATTTTCCCAACTGTTTTATGAAAAAAAAAAGATACCATGAGTTCATTCTAAGCACACATTCATCTGTTAACACTTTCATCAAACACTTAATTACATGTTTTTGTTCTAGACTTTATTCTGGGTATTTGGGATATTTCAGAGTGAAGTCTCATCCTTGTGGAGCCTTCACTCTAGTTTGAGGAGATAAGCCATACATATAATTTATCTATATTGTATAATATACCAGGGATGTGGGGATAAAAAATAGACTAGAGGGAAGAGGGATTAGATGTGTGAGGGGTAGGCAGGTTAATAGGAGGTCGAGGTGCCTCCGAAAGGTGTCATTTGAGAACAAACTCTTAGGAGATGAGGAAGTTCGCACTACAGTTATCCGGGAAAAGCATTCATGGCGCAAAGGCCTGAGGAGGGAGGCTGCCAAGTGTGCTTGGGAAGCACCAGAGAGGCCAGTGTGGCTGCAGTTGAATGAGCGAGGTTGGGAAGGGTAGCAGAGACAGGCGGAGAGGTAACTGGGCTGGATGGCACAGAACCTTCTAGGTCAGGGGAGGGCTTGTATTTTCTCTGAGTGAGCAATGGGTGCTGTTGGAGGGCTCTGAGTAGAGGAGGGACACACTATGGCTTATTTTTAGCTGACTCCCTCTGACTGCTCTATTGACACTGCTCTTGGGAGCAGGGGCGATGCAAGGGTGGAATCAGGGAAACCAGTTTGTGTTGTGCCAGTCTAGTCAAGAGAAAGCAGTGGTTCACAGTAGGCTGGTAGCAGTCAGAGAGAAGTGGAAAACAGATCAAGAGTCTTTCCTGATGGATACGATATGGGGTGGGTAAGAAGCGTGAAAGTAAGTGAGGTGTCAAGCTTGACCTCGAGGTGTTTGGCCTGAACAGTTAAAGGTTGGTATCACAAAAAAGATGGGGAGACTGCAGACAGGGTATTTTGGTAGGGAAGAGGAGAAGTGCAAGTTTGCCTTAATAGGCTTGGGCATCCAAATCCCAACAGATGTGGAGTTGGCAGCAGGATGTAAGAGCCTTGGGGTTAAGGGAAAGTTAAAAATGCACACCTCATCAATAAGGGTACCTGCACAATGAACATTTGTATACCTAACCCTGAATTGTACTCCACAATTTCAAAATAAAAATTAAGAGAAAAAATGCAGTTGTAGGCCATTTTAAGGCATGAATCTTTAACAAGGAGTGAGTACACAAATGGAAGACCGAGGTCTGGTACCCTCCAGCAAGAGAAGGAATGAGAGGGCAGCTGTTTGGGGTGAAAGGAGTCAGGAGATGGATTTTATAAAAGCATGGTGTGAGCGATCCATTGGAAAGGGTAGACAGGCGACGATCTGGAAGAGAGGGGGAGAATTGCTAGAGTGACATCCTTGAGTGGGTGAGGGAGAATGGCAGAGATTGGCTCTGGATAGGAAGATGGATAATTCAGTCCATGAGTACAGATGCTGGTGGGTAGGGAGAGGTGGTGGCAGAGTCCATGGTTCTTTTCTAATTTCCTTCGTGTGTTTCAGAGAAACAGGAAGCATAGTAATCAGCTGCATATGAGTGCGGAGGTGGGAAGTGGGAGGTGTTAAAAGTTTTGAGAGTGGAGGGTGTGGAATATTTAACTAAGGGTGCGGAATATTTAACTAGCAAAGTGAGAGCATACGTGAAGTTGAGGGATGTAGCAGGAAGGCTTGTCGTCATGCATTTGACATCGGACCAGTTAACATGATCATGTGCTTTCTGCCCCTCAGTTCAGCCTCGGCAGTATTAGCATGGAATTGGTGGAGAGCTGAATTGAACTAGGGTTGTGGTTTTAAGAAAGAGGCAAGAGGAATAAGGATCTATAGTTTCTGTCATAAAATTTAAATTGAATGAGGGGAGAAGTCCCATCCTGACTGGAGTGTGAGATAATGAGAAAGTAGAATGCTCAATGGACTGATGTCTCTGGTGGGAATTGCAGCAGGGCAAGCGATATTGAAAAATAGAAGGCGGTTGTCACAAGGGGTCATGAACGAAGCTTATGGAAGGAGCATAGTCTTAGGCATGGCAAGGTCGAGGGTATGGAGAGTGAGCGGCTGAGACCGACTAGAAGACAGGCTCTGTGGAAGAGGCCAAAGAACTGAGAGGCCAGATTGTTAGAACTAACCAAGAGAGGAGAGACAAGAGCAGAGGTGGAGCCGGGCTCAGTGGCTCAGCCTGTAATCCCGCACCTTTGGGAGGCTGAGGTGAGTGGATTGCCTGAGCCCGCGGGTTCGAGACCCGC